GATCTTCTTAAGAAGTAACTAATTCAGAGGACTTGGCCATAACTATCATCGGTTCATCCTCGACATCTCGATGACTTTCTTCTCAATTTTGTGGGTAGCAGTCTCAAATAGACTGCAAAGTCTCGATCAGGAACACTCTTATCATCAAATCAATTGTCTTTAGAGCCAGTAAGAGAGGAGGGAGCGATGTATCGCATAGTTTGCTGCTACGTTTTCTTCTTGAAGGGAAAAATTTAATCGAACACCAGTAAACAATTCGGATATACAAAAAATATGTCAATACGTGCAGCTAACACTCACCCGCTAACATCACAATCAATTACACGAGATTTACTAGTTTCGAAAGCATAGTTAGATTCACAAAGTTTGGTTTAGACAATATTTCCCTGAAGCATTTAATACGTTAAGAGCGGCTCGACACACCGATGGGTCTCACGGTCTTTTTTCCGAACAAATTCCGCGATTTAGTTTTTTTCCATTGTGTTTGTGGACAAAAATTTATGCTGGCAGCATATTACCTCATTAAATTTTAAAATGTGCGGAAAAATGAAAATTTAATTTTTGCTCTGGAACCTACAAATTTACTAGTATATTTTGAATTATCTGCCTTTTTATACACGGTTTTTTTGCTATCCACGCCATCTGCCAGCGCTGGTGGATCGCACCGCACTTAGCGTGTTAAATATGCAAATGAAATTTTAAACTGGATCCATGAGCTTTTTGATAATACGTATGAGGCTATGAAGCATAACTGGAAGTATAAATACTCTGAATTTCCAATTATCAAACACCAAAGTTCTGTTCCACAACTGTCTATATACAGTGTCGTACGACCGATTAGACAGATGTGGCGCATGAAACACAACTGTACATATCTGGCGTCTTTAAAAAATACCATACAACAAAATCATTCAAATTACCGATATGCATTGATAAGCGAACGAAATTACTCCTACAGCACTCCCAAACAAGCAGAAAATGTTTAATTGCGATATATTGACAAGTCTTTCTGCCAAGCGCCGAAAAAAAATGCTCAGAGTTTAGGGGTTTTAGGGGTTTTGCCATAGGGTTTTATATAATAGGGTTTGGGAGAGCAGACAAAAAGCGCTTTCATCCCAATTGAGCACCGCGTGCACTGAAGAGTGAGATGCAATTTCTCTGTTTGTTGCTGCCGAGCACATATAGAACATGTTCTAAACGTGTATGACACCGCTGAAGCTCCGCCACATTAATAGGCAATTGCCAATATAAGATTGGTTGAAAGGTGGCGTATATGTACAGCTACACGCTGAAGGGATATACCTGTTTGAATGCCTGCATCTTCAAGTGGCTAGTGGTAATAGCCACTAGTTATCGGGTTGACTACTTTGCTTAGAGGGATGATGGTTGCTCATGAATTTGTAGTTAATGCTGGCCACATAAATCATAGATTTTTTTTGTCCGGTAAGCTACCAGTGTGAGGTCACGTGGCAAACCAACGGCAGCATGATAAATATGGCAGCTGGTATTTATTTGTATCACTCAGAGAAGTGAATGAGACTTTTTCCTTATCGCGATACACTCATTTTCTTGTATGAGTCAACCTGACCCAGTTTATCCCGGCACTAGAGCGAACTTATATACGCTCAATGCTGTTGGTGAGAAAATATGTTATTGGGACAATGTAACCCAGCCATTTTTCTGTGTATAGTGGCGGTTTGTTAGTGCCAAAACTTGAATAAAATTTAATGAGAGACAAACTCTGAGTAATTTTCGTTCTACCTAGTCGACCGGGACATACCTTATTTATGATAAGGTCATATGATGTTTAACTTTATGTATACCGGTCAATGATGTCTTTATGTCAAAGAATATCGAGGAAAAAATCAAATTTTGAGGAAAATCAGATTTTGTTGTGCAGTAAATTACACCCAGATGTATGTACAAGCCAACCTTTACTTTAAGCATGAGAAGCCTCCAAATGATACGTAGCCGGAGTATGAGCGCTGCTGTAAACACCCAATTTTGAAAAAAAGCTCCGAATGGAATGCCTAGAAACTTCACGTAAGGCCCCAAATCAATCAAGGATTGAGCCTGCCAGGCTGCCATTCGGAACTGGAACACGTACAACATGCTATTTTGAATATTAAGAACTATTCACGATAATAATGTGAGAGAATCGCTCAGGTGCAATGACTGTCCACCAATGCTCGAGTGGTACTTTTCTTGTCCGGTACTGTGTCAAATCAAAGTTCTCTTGAGAAGCTGCATGAAGGGAGCGCAGCCGTGCACCGCCAATTTTGTGCACCAATAAGCCCTGAATCGAACGCCTTGGATCTCTGCGGACATCCACCAATCAGCCGTGCACCACTCGGCTTTGTCCTCCTCCGGCCTTGCATAAAACCTGCCGTGCACCACCAGGCCGCGATTCAAATATGACTTCCGTTCACCGTTAAGTTACGTAATTTTACGTTAACCGCATCTGAGGTTAGGTTTCAGATAGCATAGTTCTGTTCCAAAATTTATCGTCCTTCGACGAGGGGCCGTTCGACCGAGGGCTGGTTCGATGCACGGCATATATATGATTGTCCAGAAGTGTTGAAGGCTACGTTCCGGAAGGCAGGAATCATGATGGTCCGTTACATCCAGGGCAGTGGTGGTCTTCGGCAGGCGACCCGCTAACAAAATCCGAGGTTAGTCTTTATCGCAAAGTTGATTTCGACGAAACATCGACTCTGCGCCTATCGGTCGTTCGGTCGTGAGCTGATTCGATTCAAGGAATGAACACTGGCGGCTTATTTCCAGCTGATGATTTCAGTCAACGCCGGCAGTGTTTATTAGTGTGAAAAATAAAAGCTGGAACGTTGCTACGGTCTAAATCCGATTGATATGAAATCTTTTAGGGTGATTATTAATTAGTTGGCGAGGCATGCTGGACAACACCATTCCCCATTTCTTTGTTAGAGGTTAGTTATTTTCATTTAAAGGATATGTTCTGCCTTTATAGCTTGCAGTCGATGACGTGATAAACCAGAATTGTCGATAGCTACGTTGTTGGAAGAAGGGATCCTGTTAGTGCATGCGGAGTTGGGTATATAGTATTGGTCTCCAACAGGCAACCCCCCGAAGTTCGTTATGAGGCTCACCCAAGGACATGCTGAAGAAATTCTCCCCCTCGACGTCTATCATGCTGAAGACCTTCTCCCTCTTCGTCTATCATGCGTCGCCCACCAGCAACACCTAGAAATAAATTGTACTCTCGTAGGCTAGAACCCATGACTATAGCTACTCCTATCTGTGTGATTAGCTACTCCTCTATCTCAACTAATCTTTGGTGGACATAGAGTAAATAAACTGAATGCAATTAGGGGACGAGTCTCAATGATGCCTCCAGTTAATAGTCTTGTACTCTATTGTCATCCCACAGGCGGTGACAAATAGCAGCTGTGACCCGCGAAACTGGGGTGACGTATTATACATGTACCGTTCAGAAAATCGTTACTACGAGTCCGTACTCCAACCTCAATAAGGTTTAACTTGTCGTACGTCGCACAAGGTGCACACGAGAGAACGTTCAACAAATATAAAAGTGCAGGTAACGCTCCTAAAGGGGAGTCGGAGGTTACCATGGGCGCCATATGGCCAGGAGACCTGCAGCTAGAAAGGAGCAGCCGGCCGGCACCTTGCCTTCCAGTGCAGTTCATGAGTGGCGGTAGTGCTGGAGAGGAGCCTGTGGCGACCCGCGAGCATGATATCAAGCCGTGATGTTGTGAATCCCGTTTTATTGATTTCATCTTATTGTTAAAATTAGAAGGCATAAGCAATTTTTAGCATAATTAAATTTACAGTAGCTTGTTAAATCTATTGTTATTTTATTCAGATTTTCATTCTTGTTATCAATTAATTCAGTCTGCCACCTGGGTAACTTACAGTACTCTATTTCCATCATGATCATTGGTGCACGTAGCTGAAATTTTGGACCTGTGCCACTCATGCTTAATTTTGTCTGCGCCCAAATAATTCTAGCTATAGCCTAGGGCTGTTCAGTGAACGATAACCTGGATAGAGTTCCAGATCTCCGTCATTCAATTCCAGGGTGCAGTGACGGCTGCATCTTGTGCTATCCTTTTTATTAATGAAGTGCAACAACTTATCCTGGCCGAATAAAATTTGAATAATTTGAATAATTAATAACAATTTCGGCCCAAGTAGTAGACTTCCTTTGGATCGGTATAAGTTTTACTTACAGAACTTCGTGCCAGCTGTTATAAAAGAACCATCAAATAAAAAAATGAGATGAAGGAGAAACTTCTAGAAATAGATCGACTTTCTCTGGATCCTGTAGAAGGTTTCGCAGCAACGTCTATTCGCCGAGCAGAATAGTATTTTAGAACGAGTGTTCAGTACATTGATTCATCATCATCAATCGCCAAGTCATTGACTCATCAGCTGCGAATCACCGGTAATTTACCTTCAGCTGGTCGAGTCTTGACCAAGCACTTTCCCCTCCACGATTTCTTTCCATCATTGTTATAACTTTCCTTTAAAGTACACAAGAACCGTTACATGCAAAAAGAAACTTGAGCGATTGCAGCAGTTATAATATTTGTGCAGGAGTTGCCGCCGAATACACTGAGAATCCAGACATTAATTGGAGTCTTTTAATCAATAATTTTTTATAAGTTTGTATCTAGACAGATTTTTCTAAGGAGTACGAAACCCTACGATTTTATTTTGTTAAATAGTAAACAAATTAGCAATTTTGGTTATTGACACTAAAATGGTGAAGAAAATACCATTAAAGTTTAATCTATTAATGTAATTCATAAAAAAGTATTTATTTAATATTAATAACGACTTTCAATTCAGCGTTACCATGATTTTAAAACTGAATAAGTATTACTTGAAGAACAACTTACGCTGGAAAGCCTATTTTTTCGAACTCCTTGAAAAATTTATTTATAATTTTGACAGAGATGTGCAATAAAAGTCGAAAATTTTGGTACACAAATAAAGAATTGTCTATACTGAAGTATTCTCAATTACAGAAAAACTACAATGGAAACCATTAATCCAGTTGAAATTAATAAATTTCTAATCATTATTTTACTCATCTCAACATGGAACTGGAGGATGGTAAATAGTTTCAAACCTGTTGACAGCTTTGAAAAACCTTTAGCAGAGGCTACAAGAACCAGCTCTGCAAGTTCAAAGACAGTCAGCAATCAAGCGGCGAAATCCAGGACAGAAATTACGAAGAAAACCTCCGAAACAAATAGCACTTTGTCTGGAACAATATTTTTCCCTCTAGAAGATGCCGTGACAGAAAACAGGTTAGCAAAAAGGCCTCCTTCATCCAGAACAAATCTAGAAAAATCTTCTGAGCCTCTTATTCTGTCAGAAAATATGAGCTCCATCGACAGATATTCAAACCTGAGTCGCACAACAACCGACTTTTCCTCGCCAGTGACGTCTCAACCCTTGATCAAAAGTTCAACAAACGACAATATTACCGACTCAGAAGGACGTCAGCGACGACGAAGAAAGAAAAATCCTCCTAGGAAGCCAATAAGAAACAGAAACGTTCTGGATAACTTGAGGCATTCAGCCACTAAAACTCTTGAATCCATCTTCAATGGCAACGCTATTTCTTCCCTTCTTGAATACGACCCAGGGGCTCCACACTTGCCCGAATCCTCAGAACCAAAAGCCATTTTGCCGCCACACGACACGATGACACAGGCGTTCCAAAACTCGCGGATCACCAACCTTGGTCCGCATGAAACCCGCGACTTCAACTCCCCCTACATCGTCCCGAACCCGGCAGACATCAGACGCCCTCACCAATATTACGGAGGCTCCGGTTACCAAGGAGGAACATCCGCGTCCTACAGCTACGGCCCGGGAGCTGGGCCCTCAACTGGTCATAACCACGCCCCTGGGATCAACAACGGCCACGATGCAGAGTTGGGGTATAGAGACTACCCAGTCTACGAAGTTGAAGTGGAAGAGTATCATCCATATGACAATGGAGGGGGATCGTACGGCAGCCATGACATCGTCCACAATGGAGGGGGATCGTACGGCAGCCATGACATCGTCCACAATGGAGGGGGATCGTACGGCAGCCATGACATTGTCACCGTTACCCATACTCGCTACAAGAACGTGAGTAATGGAAGCGAGATATTTGTGAACAAATAGAAGTGTTATCACTGCTTTCATTTTGAACTAAATTTAAATGCGGCATGCAGGAAAAATTCAAATCAAAGCCTAATAAAGGTTTATAAAATTCGCATCCCACTACCAATTAAGAAAGCATTATGAGAATTATGGTTTGAAATTGATTCATTATAACTCCCTTATACATCGATTATTATGGAATACGTGTCACTTTAGAAGAAAGTAATATAGTGATTCTCGTAAAATTTTTATTTGACGGGGTGTATATGCCTTGAATTTCTCGCCATACAGCATTAAGATGGTTCTCATCTCTCATAAATCTGAACCGTGAATAATTTTCGCGTATATTTACAGGTTCCTGTGACTCACTACGTGACGGATACGCGCACCGACTACATCACGCACTACAAGACGCACTTCAGGACCAAGGTGCGCCAGACTTGCTTGTGGTGGTTTGCCTTGGTGGAGGTTTGGCCGATCACTGATACGATGAACTTGTGACTGATCGCGAGTCGCTGGAGCTGGCAACGCGAGTTGCTGGAGCTGGCAACGCGAGTTGCTGGAACTGGCAACACGAGTTGCTGGAGCTGGCAACACGAGTTGCTGAAGCTGGCAACACGAGTTGCTGGAGCTGGCAACGCGAGTTGCTGGAACTGGTAACACGAGTTGCTGGAGCTGGCAACACGAGTTGCTGGTGCTGGCAACGCGAGTTGCTGGAACTGGTAACACGAGTTGCTGGAGCTGGCAACACGAGTTGCTGGAGCTGGCAACACGAGTTGCTGGAGCTGGCAACACGAGTTGCTGGAGCTGGCAACACGAATTGCTGGAGCTGGCAACACGAGTTGCTGGAGCTGGCAACGCGAGTTGCTGGAGCTGGCAACGCGAGTTGCTGGAGCTGGCAACACGAGTTGCTGAAGCTGGCAACACGAGTTGCTGAAGCTGGTAACACGAGTTGCTGTAGCTGGCAACACGAGTCGCTTTGAGTAGGAGATATTCAGCCAAAGGATTGCCTTGTCCAGGGCCACTTTGCTCTCAGGCGTAGGCATCATCTGAGATCATATTGTGATGAAGCACATCCCATGAATGAATAAGTATTACGTATTCATAATTATGTACGCATTCATTTCAGGTACTCGAGGTGCCTGTGACGGCGTACAGTACGCAAGTGATCCCTCGAGAGGTGCCCGTGTACACCACTCTGTTCAACACCAAGTACCACACCGAGTACCACACACTCACCACTAACTACCACCACACATTACACTACACCAGCACCGTGTACCGCACCGAGGTGCTCACCAACTACATCACACAAACAAAACATAAAACATATACATCGGTCATCCACACCACAGTCTATGAACCAGTGTATCTAACCTCCACATTTTACAAAAGCCAATACATCACCACCACTCACATCAGGGACAACTACATCACTACCACGTCCTTCAGACCTGTCTACGTCACCACAACGTCTCTCGAACGTTTCTACGAGACCGAGACTGTGGTGACACCGCATTACGTTACCACCACGTTCTTCAAAGAGCTCTACAGCACCATAACTAAACCTGTGTATATCACGACTACAGAACAAATTTACAAAACAGTGCCTGTCTATTTCACCACCACACATGTCAACAAACACATTATCAACACAGCAGTCAAGTATCATCATCGTTCCGATGATCTTCAGGTTGACCACACCTCGGAAGCGATCAACAAACACTGAGATTTGTTCGCTTCCGACGATGACGAAACGACGACGAAACGTCAGCTATGGAAAGATCGGGTTGCAAAGGCCGGATCCCTTGTGAATCAAGTCACGAAAAGTTCATGAATCGGCAACAGACCATGGGCCTATTTCTTCAACGCCGACACTTCTATTCTAAATGAAAAGCGTTCAATATTCGTATAGCTTACTTGCTTAATTAGTTTTTTGTTCACTGACTATGATAACTATTAGGAATAATGAATCTTATGCACCCAAGTAATTTGATATAATTGAACCGCGCGCGTGGCGTTAATAGATCATAACAATCGTTAAAATCCAGGCAAGTCCAGTGAATGTGAAGATGCTGAGATTCGTCGAAATGCATTCGCGTTTTTTTTTCTTTTTGTATTAGCACATTTTGTACAATAATCGAATAGTTAAATCACTCCGTAGTCTTATTATGTAAACCATTGTTGTTAAGAGGAATAACTTTTAAAACATACATTTTCATCAAATTTGATTCGGCAATTTCCGGAGAGTAAAGAAAATTAGATTGAAGTAATCCTTTCATTCCCACCCGGGGCATGAACTGCTCTGACTACCTGGGGCCATATTTTCAAAACTTGCTAAGTGAACGTAAGTACTTAACCTCTATTTTCTTGTCTATGATTGGTGGATTTTGCTTGAAAGGCCGTCAATGATTGGCTGATGAACTTACGATCTCTTATCTTTTTTTGAGAGAATAGGCCCTGAGCGCTCAGTCCTCTGACAGGACTTATATAGTTGGGGGGAGGGGGCGTACTACAAGTAGGAGGCGGCATCCTACACTAGTTATGAACTCTAAAGACATTCTTCTTATCATTCTAAATCATGTTTACAAAATTCATTACAACTTCTTCCTTGATAATTGGAGTGGCTGGCTGAATTTTTAATGGTGTTACTTAAATCTGAGAAACATGTGAAATATTTATTAATTTCCATTACTGTTCATTATTGTAGAAAAGTAAGAAAGTGGTCACCACTCTGGCTTTGATATCGTTCATCGTCATCATGCTTCATTAAAGAGATGGTCGCGTCCAATATCTCTTTTCCTGCTGTCGAAAGAATCACTCTATTCCCAGACCAAATTGATGGCTGTTGCCTCGCTAGCAGAAGATCTTTTCAGCAGCTTATGATAAATTGATAAACTTTTCTGCCAGCTTGCTAATTCCTCATCAGTAATGAACCTGCACGAAAAATGCGCGAACTCCTAATGAAGATTATGGCTTATTTCTTGACGGCTGGCTGCTGGCCGACACTAAATTATGATAAGAAATTAATAAAATGTTGAGCCTAGGGTTGTTAGAGCGTGTAAAATGTTGAGCCGGGGCGACACTGAATTATGATAAGAAATGAAGATTAAAGATCATAGATGACATACGAAAGTTTGCCACATTGCATGAATTGACTGCATGCTAACATTAGATGATACATTGATGCGGCAATGCATTAACGACAATTCATTTTAACGAGACGATGCATTAATGAGACGTCATATCTATGAGGCAATACTTAAATGAAACGATTCGTTAATATAGACAAGTGATGCATTAATGAGATGATACAAATATTAAAGTTAAGATTGATTGATACATTCATTAGATGATAACGTATCGTTTAGTGATGCGATATATTAACGAGATGATACGAGATCAAGTTTAAGATGATTCGATACACTACCAAGATCATATATTAATTGTTGAGATTTTTCGATACATTAATGAGATGATAAAATATTTAATTGACAGGAGATGAGATGGCTCATTAATGTTGATTAATTGAGACATCAATGAGATGCAACCGATAATGATACCTTACGTTTAGGAAATGTACCTACCGGTAAAGACGCGCTACAAACATTTTATAGGATGAGGTAATACATTAAGGAGACGATGGATTCGACGATGGATTTAAGGAGACGAAGGATTCATCAGCAAGACGATGACAAATAATAAGATAGTAAATTAAAGCTAAAATAAAATGTATAAAAAAAAATTTTAAAGACCACGTTTTTCATGTGGACTCAAAAGTAGAAAATAATTTTACGGCAGCTACTGATCTCTGTTTGCTGACGTACGTATCGATGATACGAAGCGTATCATCGATATACGCAGTCTAAACACGAATATCCTCTCGAGGATGACGTGCATTTAAAGGTTCCCAAACCCCTGCTTGTGAGTTCCTTTAGAGTTTATAACTACTGCACAAAGGTCAACCATCCTCCATAATATTCATTTTATTTCAGTTGGCCACGCAAATGCACGAAAGAAAATTCTTTTCGAAGTTCTGTAGAAAATTGTATTCGAGGGGATACATTGTTGTTCCCGTATTTATCTGGGTGCGTGGCTGTAATAAAGAAAGGTTCGGTAATAAATACGCCTGGAAACGTGCAACAAATTATTGATTATTGTATTGTTATCGGGAGATGAGCTTCCCTAAAAGTTTCAGAGTGCTAGCTAGTGGGAAAGTTGGTGAAATGTCGATTGCAAGATTTGATCATCACAGACAGACAGACACGAAAGCGAGCTAAGAAAAACGTGGTAATAATAAGACGCTGACGTTATCAAGCAAAACGTTGTTCTTTTAATGTTGTTTCTGTCAATAAACGGCGATAGGAGATGGCAAAAAATATGGTCTACTCGTGATGTTTCTCCTGCGTACTATTGTAAATATTTGAATTGCGGATATTGTGCACATTAGCCGCCAATATGAAACAAAAGCACGAATTTTAGATAACTGAAGCATTGGAAAACGAAGTCTTGGGCAATGTTTCGTATGAAGAAGTCTAATATGGCTCTGTCAACGAGCCATACCTTGCTCATCCACGATACAGTGATTCCGTTGCTAAGTTCAACTTCAATTGAGCTTCATTTATTAGTGAGAAGCGCCTTCAATGATATATTGGTGGGCTCAAATTACGTCTTTGCGCGATGAACATTATCGGTTTCAATAAATTTATTATTCGACCTGTGAGTTTGTATCAAACTTGATTGGTGACGTTCACTTCAAATTCGGGAAGAGTGACGGATGCTGATCGACCCACAAATTTGGGTAGCACACTATAACACAATAGACCTAAAAATTGAAGCGACTCCTATTTTTCAAAATTGAAATTGGATTTCAAATTTAAATTTTAATTTCAAATTTAAATTCAAATTTCAACTTTAAATTCGAATTTAAAATTTAAATTCGAATTTCAAATTTAAATTCGAATTTTAAATAGAAATTTGAATTTGAAATTTAAAACTGAATTTCAAATTCAAAACTGAATTTCAAATTCAAAACTGAATTTCAAATTCAAAACTGAATTTCAAATTCAAAACTGAATTTCAAATTCGAATTTAAAATTTAAATTCGAATTTCAAATTTAAATTCGAATTTTAAATAAAACTGAATTTCAAATTCAAAACTGAATTTCAAATTCAAAACTGAATTTCAAATTCAAAACTGAATTTCAAATTCAAAACTGAATTTCAAATTTAGAATTGAATTTCATAAGGTAAATGAAGTTCAGTGTAAATTATACGCCGCTCAAAGTTTTTCAATATTACTATTCAAAATTTTTAATCTAATAAATATTTGAATTTCAGTAAATCTCAGACATAGAAGACGATATCACGTTTGTGAGCCGCCGCCTCGGCTGCGTGGCGGGTATAAGCAGGTTAGTGTGTCGAGACAGCGGCCTCTGAGCAGACAGCGGAGCTGCTGTGCAATGCAAGTTTTAAATTCGAATTTCAAATTTAAATTCGAATTTCAAATTTAAATTCGAATTTCAAATTCAAATTTCAAATTTATAAATTTCAAATTTAAAACTGAATATCAAATTTTGAGTTGAATTATTTTATAAACTGGTGAGCTGAGAACGCTTCGTCTCATGCACAGTATTGAATGGGGCTTGGATAAGTGGCTTGACCGTCAGAAATTTGTTTTGAATGGTATAACTGTGAAAACAGTTCATGGTTACAAATGAATTATTTGGGTAAAAGTTTTGCTCACAAATACGTTGAAAAAAAAATTAATTGTTTACTCTGGTAGCCGTTCAATTAAAGAACGAGTCACCTGTACAATATCTGATCAATCGCTGTTTTAGGACTTAATAGAAACATTCACTGTCATTCATGGGGTAATGGTGAAAACACTGAAATTTCATACTTATTAAACACAATATCAGAAAATATATATATTTATATCCATATATCAGCATGTATACAGGTGCAATAAATTTCGAATTGAAATTGTTATATGATAATATTGTAACGAATAATTCTCATCTCGCATTAATATACCTCGACTCTCGGACTGTGTCATCTATGTAGGATTGTAGGTCACCCGCAGCCTCTGCACCACCGCGCCGGGTGATCCTGCCTGCCGCTGCCAGTTGAGATCCTGACGCCGGCGGTGAGGGTGGCGGTGCAAAACGCTGCGGCAGTGTACAAACAAACATATTTAACAGATTCGTTAATCTCTTTTAATATTTAGAACAACATTTAATAGGAAACAAAATTGAACTTCCTGCTTCAGGAAATTTGCTGACACGGCGGAAGAAAATCACAATATCTTTAATAGTATATTTTAAGTGTAAATCTTTTAATGTGCTTTCAGAAGGAATACAATTTAGGGCGTATGTATTGGCGCGTATCCTCAATTCTCTTGTATGCTTACCTCCATAGTATTCATAATCTAGTTAATTTTATATCGGTCCTGGAATAAAAAGACATTTACTGTCGGAATTCTTCGTAAACAGGAATATCTAATTGCTAAATCTATTTCTAATTTACCATTAAGTTTCAAAAAGCCGAATTTGATATCAAATGATAAACGGAAATTCACAGTAGATATTAATGGGAGACGAAATGGTTTTTTACTGGTGAGAGCTTGAACAAATGTTTACTAAAACAACTTGATCAACTTCAGTATAAAATAACGTGAATGAACTGTATATACGATATTATAATAAGATTATATGAGCTCAGTAATTGTGTCTGCGAAACAATGCCAGGATTGTCTGAAGGCGAAGCCACTAACAGTCAGCAAATAATAATCTGTCATTACGTGCGTTTTCTGCGACAGATGCTTCGAAAGTTTCCTATTTTCTACTTGACGGAAAAAACATCCGAGGCGTCGTGGATTACTTCATGACCCAGTGCCGACTAACGGCTCGACTTTTGCTAACTCATGTTCGGCTTCGAGGAAGGTATATTAGCGCTATCTTTGAGAACTCTCTATTTAAAAAGTGCTTTAATTAACATCACATAAGGAGACTGGTTAAAGTAAATTATAAAGGTCAAACTAGAGTATTATCAGTAATACCACTCACGAGAAAATGTCATCACATTAACTCAAGTATGATGCGCAGATCCTCATCACTGCTTGAATTACAGACTGATTTAATTAATCAAGTTTAGATAATGGGCTATGAATGTCCAGTGTAAACCACAATGCCTACTTTTTTTATGATTACCTAACGAGTGATCAGAACCGCTGACCAGTCAATGTGTTCTTAAATAGTGATTTTATGTTCTTAAGTAATTTTTTAATTTCATGCCCATTTTACTAAGTTATTTTCATTTGCTGCAGTATTCGAGTACACAGGCCGCAGCAGCTACGCGAGATGACGGTAGCACACGACAGCGTGAGCCGCAGACAGCAGCAGCTACGCGAGTTGACGGTAGCACACGACAGCGTGAGGTGCAGGCCGCAGCAGCTACGCGAGTTGACGGTAGCACACGACAGCGTGAGGCGCAGGCCGCAGCAGCTACGCGAGTTGACGGTAGCACACGACAGCTCAGCGTGAGGCGCAGGCCGCAGCAGCTACGCGAGTTGACGGTAGCTCACGACAGCGTGAAACGCAGGCCGCAGCGGTTTTCATGTTCAACATTCGGCTGGTCCGTGCTAGACAGCGACCTTGGGTCACAAATAAGGCGGGCCGATGATTAATTGTCTTCCTTTGGCGACTGTTCTCTTAAAAAATTAGTGGCCAAATTAAAGCCGTTGCAGAAAATTTCTATCATCTGTCGTCTTCGATAAGATTCGCGCCGAAATCTTACAATAGATAGATCTCAAAACGTTGATGTATAATGCTGAATGGAAGATTTTTTTATCTTATCTCTCACGAACAGTCATTTGTATTACGGCCTAATTTAGGATAGGATAGATACTCTTTATTTTTCTCGTTACATACTTTTCAATCATTTTGTTACTCTGGCAACTAATTCTTCAGTCAGCTCAAAATGTAAGAAATAAAGCAGTTAGTAAAATACTAAATAAATTGTCGTTTAAGAACCACGATATGACGATAGTCTTTACATTATATTGAATTATAGCAAGTAATGCAAATACAAAAAATGTGTCGAGGAAAATTTTTGTGTGGAAAATCTCCATAAATGAAGCAGTAAACTAGACTGATTATCTTTACCTACGAACTCTCTAATCTAGTTTTTATTCTAATCTAGTTTTAAGGAGAGAAGTTCACGCGTGCAAGTATTGCTCGAGGCAAAATGAGATCATAAATGACGCGGAGAAAGTTCTGAAGATGTACCGCGCCGGGCGCTGCTCGCCGGCCTGTAGTGCTCGTTCTCCGCATCTCCGTCGGCCAAGCAGGAGCAACATTAAGCAGCTTATTGCATATATAAGCGATGTATATGCATACTATAAAAGTTCGATGTGCGCACGATAATATGAATATATATTTAATACGATAATATTGTAGTCATTATAGAGCCTGGTTCAAACACTAGGCGTTGTTGGTTCAAACAACTATGCGATTAAAATAACTTTAAAATTTAATAAATTTCGCTAAAAAAAATTTTCCTGTGGAAGGAATAGCAATTTCAGCTTTAAATTAAAAAAATTAATTGATGCAGACTCACTTTCGCCACACTTCTTACGTTAAAATTGACATTTATCACAGTTCAATAAAAATTTTTACAACATTTCTCTTCAACTTCACTTCTTGTTTGTCTGTTTCAAATCTTATAATCGATATTTACCACACTTCTACCTGTCAATCGATCTGAAATTTTGCACACTTGCGTGAAGTCGGATACAATGCATGAATCAATTGACAGAATGAATAATTTTTAAAAAATTTAAAAATTGTTATATTTTAGAAAAAATGCTTTAAAATATTTTTTATATATTCATATATTTATAAATAAAAAAAGATTTATTGTACATTAGCATCATCGGAGACAGTGGCCTCTTTAGAAGTGTTGTCGTTAAAAAGTAATTTTTATTGGCATATTATTTACAATACACAACTATATAACATTCTTCACCAAATGATGATCATCTTTGTGCTGTCACAATCGCAACGTGCGCTGCCCAGTTAACAAAAAAGTTGGAGAACCTGACCGAAGATGGGTCACTTTGGTGCAAAAAGCCGTCAAATGCGAGCAAGTTACTCTAACTGGGATAAGAACTCCAGTTTCTAGCGAACGGTTGAATAGAAAGTAGGCGGGGAAAATGTTGATCTGGCGAGCGGACCTCGGCCTGCAGTATACACGAGGCAGATGATGGCAGTGAGTGCGCTTAATACTTTCTTGACACAATTTAGCGTCTCTGCTGCAAAATAAGTGCAAATTTATATATAATTCTAGTTACTTCTACACGATGTGAGATCAAAGTGTCCGGAAAAATGTTTGGAATGTTTTGCGCCAATTTCAGTGAAAAACTACCAATTAAAAATATATGATAAGTGCATTATCAAGAGATAAGGCAGTTTTGCATGTGTGCATCCTATTTTAAGTCTGTATAGCAATTTCATGTATGGCTCTCGTCCAAACCGAAAGACATAAGTATCTCTGACGAGGTTCAGAGCGTTATGTCTATAGATCGCCTAGGCGAAACTTTGAAGAAAGAAAACATCCGTGAAGATATTTTTAGTTTGTATCGCGTGTGCGCCGTATTTCTTAGTAGGGATTACATTTATTTGCGTAGCTCAGGATTAAAAAATTAGCGAGTTTGCATCGACTTTCTCCGCGTTGTGTAACGAACATCTGGCGTGCCGGCGAACACCGCTCGCACAGTCACGGCGATCGAGTGAAGAATCTCGGAGGAACGGTCGCGTTGTGTACTAACGGGCCAGCGAGGCGTAATGTACTAACGGGCCGGGGAGGCGTTGTGTACTAACGGGCCAGCGAGGCGTAATGTACTAACGGGCCGGGGAGGCGTTGTGTACTAACGGGCCAGCGAGGCGTAGTGTACTAACGGGCCGGGGAGGCGTTGTGTACTAACGGGCCAGCGAGGCGTAGTGTACTAACGGGCCGGGGAGGCGTTGTGTACTAACGGGCCAGCGAGGCGTAGAGTACTAACGGGCCAGCGAGGCGTAATGTACTAACGGGCCAGCGAGGCGTTGTGTACTAACGGGCCAGCGAGGCGTAATGTACTAACGGGCCAGCGAGGCGTAATGTGCTAACGGGCCAGCGAAGCGTAATGTGCTAACGGGCCAGCGAGGCGTAATGCACAACGGGCCGGCGAGGCGTAATGTACTAACGGGCCAGTGAGGCGTAATGTACTAACGGGCCAGCGAGGCGTAATGCACAACGGGCCGGCGAAGCGTAATGTACTAACGGGCCAGCGAGGCGTAATGCACAACGAGCCGGCGAGGCGTATTGTACTAACGGGCCGGCGAGGCGTAATGTACTAACGGGCCAGCGAGGCTTAATGCACTAACGGGCCAGCGAGCATAATGTACTAACGGGCCAGCGAGCATAATGTACTAAGGGGCCAGCGAGCATAATGTACTAACGGGCCAGCGAGCATAATGTACTAACGGGCCAGCGAGCATAATGTACTAACGGGCCAGCGAGCATAATGTACTAAGGGGCCAGCGAGCATAATGTACTAACGGGCCAGCGAGCATAATGTACTAACGGGCCAGCGAGGGTAATGTACTAACGGGCTCTCTTCAGTAAGGATGCGTCTTCGTAGCTAAGCATTTGAGAAATGCCTCGGTAGTTTACATGATATGCATGGCATTAAAATATTTGAAACATAATAATGCTTAAGGCCTTTTCCTCCACAGGGATAATCATAAATCTTCTCATTCAATTTTTTTCGGGAAATTGTTTAGAAAAATTTGAATATTCTGTAGTTTTTGCATCAATAAGTTCCACCAATTAGAGACCATCAACCCATCTTTAAATTATTCGCTCCTGAATTATCCAAGTGTTAAGTTTTCGAGATGATGACAGCGGCCAGACTCGTGGTGGTGCTGGTGGTGCTGGTGGTGATGGTGTCCCAGACGCGCGCCGACTACTGTGGGACCGTGACGCAGTGGCTTGACAAGACCATCTACAGGCCCGTGCCCATCTACTCGGGAGGGTGAGTCATCGCGACACACTTTTATATATAAGTGTCAATTAAGGATTTAAATCCCTTTATGAGTCAAATTAAATATATACGTGTATAATAAAGGATTAATTAAGGATTCAAATCCCATTAAGAGTCTAATCAGATAGATTATCTGAACTTTCTGAAATTGAGCGTACACTCCGTGCATGTACGGCTGAAACTTAATGAACGGAATTGCGTATGTTTTTGAAAAGAGAAAAATTTAGGTATGATCATGCATATAAGTATAATTATATAAACCACAATGTGATTTATTGATTATTAATTGATAAATAAAATTTCGATGCAGAGCGCATAGTCATTCCAAGTAATCGAATCGTTTACAGACTTTCATTATAAATTTAGTTTATTTCCAGCTTTAGGCCAACCATTCTACATTAATGGAGAGTCAGGGCAGAAAAATTTAATTCTTTTTATAAACGAAAAATGATCTTTCTCAACTAAATCTAGACATAAAAGAGTAATTATTGAAAAAGAATAATTTAAATACTAAAAAAATTAGATAAAAAAATAAAAATTAAGAATCAATAAAAGAATAATTTAAATATTTTCTCTGGTGTGTTACAGGAAAGCGTCTCGGGATCACTACGCGCCTGTGCACCAGACCATCACAGTCATCAACACGCAGTCCGTGCCGTACTTCGTGACGCAGACGCAAAACGTGCGTATACGTGACACGTCGTGACACTCCTGACTGGCGTATTATGATATGACAATAACACTCCTGACTGGCGTATCATGCTATGACAATAACACTCCTGACTGGCGTATTATGTCATGCCAATAACACTCCTGACTGGCGTATTATGTCATGACAATAACACTCCTGACTGGCGTATTATGTCATGCCTATAACACTCCTGACTGGCGTATTATGTCATGACAATAACACTCCTGACTGGCGTATTATGTCATGCCTATAACACTCCTGACTGGCGTATTATGTCATGCATGACAATGGAAATGTAATCCATTGCTTTGAATGAGGAATATAATCATTTAATTAAATTAAAACTAATTATATACACCCTCCATATACTCTATATAAGCCTTCCTTATACTCTGCATATACATTGTACACCCTCCGTATGCTCCATATACGGCCATATACTCCATATGTACCCCCTCATGTACTTCATATATACACACCCTTTAAATGCTCCATATAAAAATATATACTCCATATACACCCTCCATATACTCCATATACACCCTCCATATACTCCATATACATCCTCCATATGCTCCATATACATTCTCCATATAGTCCATATACGCCATCCATATACTCCATATACGCTCTCCATATAGTCCATATACTCCGCATATACGCCCCTCCATTCACTCCACATACGCCCTCCATATGCTCCATATACATGTTCCATTTACGCCCCCATGCTTACCTCAGCATTAAATGGGCTCAGGAAGGCTGGTCATAAATTGCGTGTCCAGGCTAAATTCTTAGCTCGGCGCTTGCCTCCCACAGCCATATAATGTTTACACGCGTTATTTGCTCTAAATGGATGCGTGTTTTTTTTTTTTTTGTTGTTTCTCATGTCTTAATATTTGAATTGGAAATGTTGTTCTGTTGCCCTGGCTTTTGGTTGCGTCTCGGGCAAATTCTGGAGTATATTTTTATTCTTTACTCAAGAACTGACATATTTTCTCTAGCCGCTAAATTTGCCCGAATCATTTTCTTACAAAGGAGACATAAATTTTTTGGCACTAAAATCTTATGCTCCTATCACTAATATCGTGAATTTTCAAGCCTCATAGTCTACTCTTTTCGCCTTGTTGTTCAAAGCTCGTAATAATATTTCTCAGGTCATACTTTTATATGAGAATTTTTCAACTCGTATTTTTGCCTCATACCATGTTTATAGCTCCCACCTACACGCTTAAGATGCGAGTATATGACTTTAATATCTTCTAAGATACTAAGGTATCCATTAAAGTGACTTTAAGACACTCAAGTGACTTCAAGACACGAATATGACTTTAAGACACTCAAGATCTCACTAAGGTCTTAAGAGTCTTCAGAATGTCACTCCTATCCCATGGTGTTACTGGAGTTTCTCATGCAATATTCACTGGTATGTACAGGTGCCCCAGTTACTGGAGTTTCTCATGCAATATTTACTGGTATGTACAGGTGCCCCAGTTACTGGAGTTTCTCATGCAATATTTACTGGTATGTACAGGTGCCCCAGTTTGTGACCCGTAAAGCTGTCCTGCCGCAGTACATCACGCACACCGTCGTCAGGACCCAGCCCAAGTACGTCACGGTCACGGAGAAGTCCTACGTTACCGTCACGGCCACACGCACACGCAAGTCCTACGAGACTGTCTGCCCCAAGGGATACGGGCACGGGGACTATCATTAAAACATTCATGCCTTCTTCCTAATTAATACATGGGGGGAAACATGAGGGAGACATTCATGCCCTCTCCTCCATGCCTTCTCCCTAATCATATCACTAATGGTTTCTTCCAGGATATATTAGTTCAGTTTAACAAGGTCTTCAAAATTCTTTTTAGTCCTTCCCGATCGTGGGACCGAAATTGTTGTATACCTTCATTTGTCTACTGAAAATTACTTGTATTACTTCAATTTCGTATGCATTTTCATGCCTATTTAGGTCCGATGACAATCAATTTCTGCGCTGAGATTTATTCCTGATATCTAATAGGGAAACTGTTCATTTATTAAGTGTCTAGCACGTGCAAGAAACATTTCATTTCTGTTCCCCGTTGGCAGCGGGGCTTGTTTTTTTTCTGTTCCATGCCACTGCGAAGGTCTTGAGATGTCATCTTCACACAAATTTGTCTTCTCGAACGTATAAACCTTGGTTCCGAAAAATTATGTAATAATTAATTTTGGAGTGTGTTGATTATGATAATTTTGATACTAGAGCGTGTTTTTTAAGGTTGGTACTTTACTCTTGCAAAGCACGTTAAATTTTTTGTGAAATATTTTTGCAATGTTATCTTGTTTGTAATTCGTTATGTGTTGATTAAACATATTATAAATTGTTTTTTCTTATTTTTACTCACGAATTTCAGTTAATCATTTAGTGAGGCTAAAACAGTAATTATACAAAGTAATACACTGGTAATCCACGAATTAATTCAAAATGCTACGGAGCTTTGATAACAATGTCACAATGTCTATACGTTACGTCGACACCATAAACAGCGATAACAATTATATCGGCACGGTAACTGTAAGGGGGAACTATGAAGTCGGTTTACACGGCGCCTGGATTAATAGGCAATGCTGGTAAACTGGAACGGACATTGTTAATCTCGTCGAGGCCTTTCTAATGCTGCGCTCGTTGATTTACTACCACGCTGTCTCTGCTCTAGCTGCTGCGTCTCGAGTTACTGAATTCGCTACGATTTAGTGCATGGATAAAACTGCATTATTGAATTGCCGGCCACGTTTGCTCAAATATATTTCTTCACATTCAGTTCAGCGAGGCACATTATTTGGTTCAAGACACAAATGTGCTCAAAAGGCTCAAGATATTTACAAGAATCTCTCGTAATGAAGATTTTAGCACTTGCTACTCTAATATCCTGCTCAACTCGGTGCTTGACGCGACTAAAAGCGAAGTATATTTCTCAAGAATTTGCTTGCAAGTGATTATAATGTGTATTGAAAACGTTTCATTAAAGCATCAATTGCCGTTAAATGTTCAATTGTTTGAGCACCCATGGCGTGTAAATTTAGAAATTACCGGTCGCCCTAAGCATTTGAATTAAAGTTCTAGAAGCGGAGACGCACCCGGGCCCGAGACGCAGTTCGCCCTCTTTCTTCGCCCGAAGAAAGGCAACTTTTTCTCGAGACCCCGCGAGATGAGGGAAAAAATTCCGAGAGGTCCATCTCCTGCCGCCGGGCTTCTTACTTTCATCCAATTTAAGGAAGGGGCGACACATGGAAAAAAGTTGAAGTGGGCTGGTTGCCTCCCGCATAACTTCAGTTATACGGAATCACAAGTATTTACTGCGCCCTCTTATTGATGCCCCTCCATGGCCGCTCTGCCGGCGGTCAGGGTTTCAATTCACGATCTTCGGTTCATGAAAGCGTAGTCTGGGCCTATACTATCAAAAAAAGTTTAGAGATCGTAAGTTCATCAGCCAATCATTGACGGGTTTTAAAGCCAAATCCACCAATCATAGACAAGAAAATAGAGCGTAAGTACTTACGTTCACTTAGCGCGTTTTGGAAGTGCAGTCAGGACTGTAAACCAGACAATAAATACACGAATTGTAGGGAAAATGAATTATGATATTGGAATAGAGAAACGGCTTAGGGTGCACTTTAACTATAAGCTGGAATAAGTTTTGTTGTTTATTGTTGCACCTTTTCTTTGTACCCTTAAATATTGCACCGAACTCGTGAGTTCGCAGTGTTTAACAAAATTTAGCTTGAACCATAAACAAAATATAATTAAATAATTAAATCAGGAAAATTTGATCTTCAACAAAATATTTCCGCCTTTACTAAGCGACTAAGCGCGTGTGTTTTATTGTCTGGCCATGCTTTCAAAACTCGCTAAGTGAACGTAAGTACTTACGCTCTATTTTCTTGTCTATGATTGGTGGATTTTGCTTGAAAGGCCGTCAATGAATGGCTTATGAACTTACGATCTCTTAACTTTTTTTGATAGTATAGGCCCTGGTCAGTAATTATAAGCGTGACTCTATAATAACTGCAGGAAGATACGACCACCGGTGCTGCGGCGAGCGGGTAAGGGCCAGGGCCCATACTTTCAAAAAAAGTTAAGAGATCGTAAGTTCGTCAGCCAATCATTGACGGCCTTTCAAGCAAAATCCACCAATCATAGACAAGAAAATAGGTCGTAAGTACTTACTTTCACTTAGCGAGTTTTGAAAGTATGGCCCCAGAATATTTGCTCCGTCTCGCAAGAACAGACTGGTGAGAGGACATGACTGTGGAGGGTCCTGAATTCATTTTATGTATCCGTCCATAAATTGTGCACGAGTGTGTAGTAGTAACATGCATGGCCAGGTCGTAAACTCGTCCCTTGCCATCCCTCATATACATACAAGAGACCTTGCCGCGCGATACAGCGCATGCGCAGTCCGTGTGCGTGCGACCGGCTATAATTAATGGGCTATAATTAATATAAATTAATATAATATATAATTAATATAAAGAGGCTATAATTAATAAGATGTTGTTACCAAGCCTTAAAACACCTGCGGGCCTCGGTAAACATTGCAGGATATCGCGAACAGTTATAGCCTGGTATTGCCTCAAGATGATAATAAATCTGAAATATTTTTCGTGAATATTACAATCCAATGTTAAACCAAAATTTATCAACTGTGTTTTAAAGTATACGACGATGATTTAAACCGGCATCAAATTCCGATATTATTACCCATGCAAACTTTTGAAATAATACATAGTGGAATATTAATTGCGCCTCTAATCTACACAAAAGTCAAGATTAATCACAATTTTTCTAGAAATTACTTGTTCCGTCCAATAATACCGTTAGCAGCCGTTCTACACATAGAGCGCCGCACCTGCCATCTCATCGGTTGGTCAACTTTAACGTTACGCTCCGTTTTTTTACAGAAACGGTTCTGAATATTTGTGACTCTGGCATGTTAATACAATTCTCGATGAAGCTGCTTGATAACTGAACAAGTGTGCATTGCTCGTAACAGTACATGACTTGTTAAAGCTGCACTGTAGCTGTACAAGTGTACATTGCTCGAGGCAGTACAGGACTTGGTAGAGCTGCACGATAGCTGAACATTTCTCGAGGCAGCACAGGACTCGGTAGAGCTGCACGATAGCTGAACATTTCTCGAGGCAGCACAGGACTCGGTAGAGCTGCACGATAGCTGGGCATTTCTCGAGGCAGCACAAGACTCGGTAGAGCTGCACGATAGCTGGGCATTTCTCGAGGCAGCACAGGACTTGGTAGAGCTGCACGATAGCTGAACATTTTTCGAGGCAGAATAGGACTTGGTAGAGCTGCACGATAGCTGAACATTTCTCGAGGCATAACAAGATTGGGAGAGCTGCTTGATAGCTGAACATTTCTCGAGGCAGAATAGGACTTGGTAGAGCTGCCGATAGCTGAACAATTCTCGAGGCAGAATAGGATATGATGAATTAGTCCCCGACACCCGTCCACAATCTAATTCCAGTATGTGTCCTACATGCAATACCGAGGACAAAGTTAGTTGTTTCATCTTTCAGTGTTCACTGTACACAAACCAGAGGAGGGAGTTTCACTCCAACTTGGAAAATCTTTCACTTCCTTGGATGTTGGAACCTTGTATCAGCTCTTGGTGAGGGAGATATCCCTCAGAAAATACGCACAACAGCAATTCGTCGGCTGGGACAATACCTGCTGAGCTGCAGAATGGTAAACACCCTATGAAGATGCCTAGATGAAGATGCCCAGTAACTAATTCTTTTGTCTCTTCTTTCAAACAAAAGCCACCGTTTGGTGAGAGTGAGCTAGAAATTAAACTGTGAAACGACGAGGGGCAAGAGAAAAAGGCTCAGATAAAAATCAAGTTTTGCTCAGACTGGGAGGTGTGATCTCTCATACCAGAAGTCTTAAATTCAATTATAAAAAAAACCGTCCTTAGAAAGAGAGAAGCAGGTCGGAATCCCTGCGTAATCGCTGATAAATTCAATGGTAAATTTTTTGTACATTCAGAGAACGTTTGGAATTTTCAAATTATTTAAATGCAGTTCAAAATTTCGTGATAATAAATTATTTCCTGCTCATTACTTTTTCAATAACCTAAACATATTCAACATTCGCTGAGCACGAGAGTTAGCAGTGAAGGAGTACCGGGGCGTGAGAGGTCAATGTGACAATTGGACGTCCAACACTCATGTCAGTTTCTATAGACAAAAGAAATTTTTCGAGCCTCCACCAAAGCAACAGTGCATCTAAAATTCATTTATGAATTAATCCGATGGAAACCTGACGTGGTAGGCTGTGAAGCAAAACCATGGTTCTGATATTGCGAGAACTTTGGATGTTGGGGGCATTTCTCTGCAAGTCTCACACAACCAGTTTATGTTTGACGAAACGTCAACTGTATATAAATTAAGTCTGATAGAAATCGGTCATGTATGTACATGCGTGCCTTGGCCCCGATTTGAGACAGTAAAAGCATTAATTCATTAGTCAGCTTACCGATTTATTAAAACAATCCAGCCATATCACCCTGAATATTCATAATATAATATTATAAATATTCAAGATGTGCAATTGCCCGCTACTTGCATCACCAGCTATGCCATAACACCCTGAATTCTCGCAGTATCGAGACCGGGGTTGTGCACCATTACCTACCTACAAACGAGCGCCTACTCTATACAGTTCTGCTGCTCCTATACTATGCAGTTGCTGGGTGGACGTCGGGAACGGACGCTTCGCCGAGAGGCTTCATGCTGCTCAAAACTGAACGAGTTTTTCTAATATTCAAGATTCAAGTCTTTTTGGAAAAAGAGTGTTTGTTTTCATGGGCACAGTCTGATATTGTACGATTCAGCAGAATTATTTTCGACCTTCACTCTCACAAACTATGCGAACATTCCGCTCAAATATATGATTATGTATGGTATAGTATTTGATATTATATAGCATAATTATGATTAGTATAGTATAGATTATGAAGCTTCCAAGCCTCAGTTATCGACGTCTGCGTGGGGACCTCATCAAGACTGACTGGACTGCTACGTCCCGCTCAATGTTTTACACCATAACTCGCATACAGCGTACCATTCGAGGCATAGCTAACTACAGGGACACATGAGTAACACTCCTGCGCCATGTCAACTAAAAAGTAATTGACTGACGGGACTGTGACGTCCCGCTTAACGATTTACTCTATAACTTGCATGTAGCGCTAAATTCAAGGCATAGCTAACTACAGGGAAATATAAGAAACTCTCCTGCGCCTACATATGTCCAATCTAAAGGAATATTATTATTTATTCTTTTTGGGATATGCTATTATAAGCTATTACACGCGTTTGCCAAAGGAAGTTTGTGATATTATTCAACTACTAACACAAAATATTCGGAAAATGTTTCTTTTAGCAAAATCAGTGATGTCGCAAATTGTGTCACCTCAGTTGGAACCATAAACTACTGGGATTTTCTAGTCCCATTTATATAATTTTTACCATTAACATATATTTAATTATTTTTTACGGAGACGCAATATTTACTCCAAGTTCATGCTGATTCTGTAGAAAAATACGAATAAAAAGTTGTAAAACACATTGCAGTTACGAAGGGGCTATAGTATACAAGTATACTCATGGTTTATACAAGGTCCTGAAGGATTACTAAAATTTAAAACAAGAACCAACACCAGGGGCCACGGCTATAAGCTAAAAAAAACTGCGCTGCAACGTCTCCACGCGACAAAATTTCTTCTCGCTTCGAATCACCGACATGTGGAACAGCCTCCCCGATGACATCGTTGGCGCTCCAAGTATGAACGCGTTCAAGAACAGACTAGATAAAGCTATGGAAAAATATATGTTCAGATTTGAAATGCCTAGCTCCTTATCGAACCCGGTGGAAGTCTAGTAGCTACTTCAAACTATCGTCAGTCATGAAAAGATCCGGTCAAATGACACGATTTTAGATCTATGAACAAGGCACGAAAAGGAAAAGAATCGGCGACAGGCCACATCAAGCCTACACTTCAGCGCCGACATTGTTATGTTATGTTATGTTATGTTATGTTATGTTATGTTATGTTATGTTATGTTATGTTATGTTATGTTATGTTATGTTATGTTATGTTATGTTGTTATGTTATGTTATGTTGTTATGTTATGTTATGTTATGTTATGTTGTTATGTTATGTTATGTTAAATATTACTTTTATCTATTTCTAATAAATTCCTAGTTAGATAGAATCTCCGGTTTAACTTTGGTAGAGGTCTCGACAGCGTGATGAACCTCTGTATAATTTTAAGCAAAACAATGTTTCGAATCAAAGCAGGAGATGAAAGAAATCAGTCCGTATCAGCGACAGCTGACAGCCTGACCTCGACCTCATCACGTCGACTCCGGCGGGCCAGCAGCAGCAGTAGCTCCTGAGCTGTATGACGAGTTGGTTGTGTGTGTCATTCTTCTCCGTGGATTTTATAACCTGTGTTCAATCTTCCACCGCCTACTCGCCATTTAATTTACGTAAGTACACATTCTATAAAATTCAGTGCATATTTAATTGTGTCTCATGATGGTAAGCGTAATTATTATTAGCGCATTCGTGATATCATTAGCCACATTGGCCTGAAATCGGTCAATTTTCCGGTGAAAATGAAGGTGCGAGTAGACATCTCATCGCTTTTACATTGGTTGCCTTTTACATGAAGTAATTTAATCAAATATCACCGTTAGTTATTTTATTCGAGCACTCAATTTGTGCAGCGGCTTCATGTATGATAGTCACCGGCAAATAGAGTACAGTCAGTACACCCGGCGCCAGTATAGACGTCGTCACTCACAGGTTGCACCAAGCATGCACCCGGTGCACCGTATCACTACTACTCAGCCATATGCGTTCGATTGAAGTCCCTCTTCTGACTATTACATGCGAATTCTCAACTTTTTCAGTTTATAATCTGCATCATTTAAATTATTGTAGCTGGGTGCATGAGTTTTGAAGATTTGAGAGCTTGACATGGTGCCAGAAACGCCTCGTCAACACCTAATGGATACCGTCAGCTCATATTTAATTCACTTCTCTTGCAACTTCGTAACGCCGCCATAATGACAAGAATTGTTGACGGTAACCTCACGCTGAAACTATGTGTGTCTAAAATAATAAAGTTTGCTTCTGGTGACGAGACTAACTGCGCCGGATGCGCGTGTTGCAGTTTACAGCGCTGGCAATTATCACTTCGCTCTCTCTGTTTGCATATCGTAAGCTTGTTGGTGTAAAAAGAAACCTTCCGCCAGGCTGTTCCTTTTTAACTGTTCACTAGCAGGATCTCGCCCGGTACATATTAAAGGTGCTATACATGTTACATCTTATCGCGTCGCCTACGTAAGCTATGTAGAAATTAATCTAAGATTGTAGCAGTGGCGTTCATATCGCGAGTAAAGACTGAATTTATGAGTTAAAAGACTGAATTTATAAGTTACAGCGGTGGCTTATTTGCACCAACCGTCTTCCCAACACTTTTACTTGCATTGTCTTAGATTTCCGCATTGAGAGTCCGTCTGAGCGGTAAAACGTCACATGCAAGCTCGGATTTTCCTTGCAGTAGTACGTTGCAGGCAAGATTGGAGCTTTCATTGCTGGAGAGCGCTGCAAACAACCTCTGCTGTTAGCGTGCACATGTGTCCTAACTGTTTGTCTATGAATCAGAACGCTGGCTGCAACGCCAAAATTCCCATGGGCGCTCTATTCACACGTGGTGTACGATGGCCGTAATTTGGGTTCTATTAATTACTGTACGCAAGTGCAGCTGTATGTGATGCTTGTGCAGTGTGCAGGGCTCTAGCTGCAAGTCACGATCACGAGTGTATGCCATCATGAGTTGCTTTGGTGTATACACTCTTTACGTACAGGGTCCTTTGTGCGCGAAGATTATTTCTGATTATTAAGCAGCATTAAGCCTGGCCTCATACGATTTCTTTTTTCACTCAAATAAAAAATGTCCTCGCTGAAGCTGTCACTTAGCCTTGCTAGTCCGGGTAAGGGCTTGCGAGGCGCTGTATTCGGAACGAATGCTAGGCCCCCGCGGGGGATTATGCAGTAGGCAAAAGAGTATTAAAAATTAATACTCAACGCTGTGACGCATTGCAAACGGAGTTGAAAGTTTCGACTTGGCTAGTCTTCCTAGCCGCTCGTTACTTAGAACACAACGTTACGTTTGTGTTGATTTCTGAAAACGAAAAAAACTTGGCAGATGGAAGTCGTTAAACTTATTTTTTTCAAGTTTATGAAATTGATTTTTAATATTTTCATACCTGACTTATAGGCGGACGATCGGTGAAACAATTTATATCCAAATGCAATTAAAATTGTCAACTTTGCAATCAGCTGAGCTCTCAATAAGGTCGAGCATTAGTTTTTATTTATTCGGAGGCCTGCGCAAACGAAAACTGCGGTTTATAAACCCCGGCCACGTTGAGAGCGACTGATTGTAACAGTTTCAGAGCTTCCTTTATCATTAAAACTTGAGCCGAACTCCTGAAGACCTCAGTCAGTTTCTGCCATGCCTAAGACTTCCCGTTTGCTCGTCGACAAGAAGCAAACACTACGCTGGTGTGAGACTCATCGTCTTCGCAGAGCCAATTTATCACTTGAATTCATCGGCCAGTGAATATTTATTAAAAAATCATTGACATTTTGGATGATCAAAAAATTTCTCAGCACGTGTCGGTCATCCCGGTACAAAATTTGTGTTGGCATCTGGTATAATTATGCAGCTCTTAATGAATTAATGCAAGGATACAAAATTTTTAGTGCTTAGATCAGAAGTTAATCTGGAACTGACATTCCTATGCGTTTCCAAGGAAGATCAATAGCCGTTTACATGCTCGCATTCCACTCCCAAAGCATATTGCTAGCCAGCTGTTTATATGCTGCTGGGCCGCCCAGGTACCTTTAAGACAAACTACCGTACTCACGATATCTCGATTTGGTTCGAACCCAAGTCACAGTAAAAAACCCAAGTCACAGTAACCTGCACCCCATGGTAACTGTCAGCTATGATGTATGAACTTGAAAATTTATGCTCCTAGTCCCACGCTGATCCAGGAGCGTTTTCTTTACAATTTTAGGGATTAAGCTTTCTTTAGTTCCGTCGGTCGCAACAAGTCTAATGAGCCGTGAAGCTGATACAGAGCAGGTGAAAACACTCACGTTAGCAAAAATTACGCTCAACTATTATGGACATGTTAACTGTATGAACTTGGTTCGTAGCTGCGTTCGAATGAACGTCGCAACATTAAAAGAGTATTGACTTAAAGAGGTTCTTGGAAATGAAGTCATGGTTACACTGAAGGATCTGTAATTTACCCTTTACGATAGTCATTAAAAGTCTTTATGATAGTTCATTCCTTTGTGATAGTCATTCGATTCCATAAATATCTTAGTTAGGCTCTTAGTTTTAACTATGAAAGGTAATTATCTTTTGGAAAGCTTTAGTTGTAAGGTTAACAAAATGTGTGATGGCGTTTAAGCTACATTATAGATGGTTTCGATTGTGTGCATTTGAGCCGCCAATAACGGAAATGGTACGCAGTATAATAAAGCCAGTATTGAAGTAAAGACGTTAATGCTGGTGTATTTTCAAGCGCATAACATGTACCTATGTCAACTGCTCTAATTAAGCCGCTCACGTCGATGTTTTCCAAAGCATCGCTCTATCAGTGGGAACTTATTAGTTCTAATTACGGCTCTCATAGCTCACTCTTTTTACTGAACAATTTTTCACAGAGAGTTTTTACATTTGTTATTTTCAACTCTGCATTTAGTTTAAATTTTCATGCAAGATAGGCACCACCAAGTCCTGCTATTCTCAACCTTCATCCACTCCATAGTTGAATACTCTTTATAGTATGCATAGGCGCATGGTAAGCGACTATAAGCGTTGAAGTTATAGATTTTTTCTGCTTCTGTGTGGTGCGTAGATTTTATAGATCGAGCCGACTTCTCTTAAGTTTCATTGTGCATGTTCATGAGTTAGTGTTTCACGTGTGCAGAGTGATTGGATGATGGATTAATAATATTACCAGTCCCCATCAGCCATCGTGTGGATCATGCCCTCGAAGTCATGTTAACGTTCGACTTGTGCTCAAGCCGTCGTCATGCTCATTAGGATTAGATGGACGTTTTCCTGGGCACAATCCCAGATGGACCTCCCCTGCAACACTACCAGCGGCGAGAAGCAAGCAACAGCATCGTGCATCAGGTGGCTCAAATGATAATCAGAGGCGGCGATCCATCGTGGTCTGGGACTGATATGTCCCAAACAAGTGCCAAGATAACCAAGATGCGGTATGGAGTCGGTAAGCATAACGTGTACCTCCCACGTGTGACATTTTCAGAGTGCGAATTTGCTTAGATACGATGACGGGATTTCTGGTCCCAGTCTCAACGTAAACGAAGAAAGTTATTGCGATATGAAAAATAAAAAATTTTGTTCCCTTGTTGTCAGATGCGCAAAAAAAATCGGTCAAATTAGTTATCTCTCTCTCTCTCTCTCTCTCTAGAGTTCAAATTTCTAAATAGTAAGGTATTCTTTTAGGAATTGTTTACGAAATGTTTTGGCTATCATAAATTCTGTAACTTTCTAAGGGGCTCGTACCCCTGCATCATCTGAACTGCGAATTGCATTCTTTACGACGACGCATAAAGCCTTTTGTTGTTTTTCGCCTCCATGGTTGAAACAGGGTCGAGCAGAGAAACTGGAAAATTTCTGCTTTCCTTCAATCAGTAATTTCAAAATGTCGACTGTATCAGTGTACACTTCATCAGTGCACACTTCATCTGTGCACACTTCATCAGTGGACACTGTACAGTGTACGCTTCATCATATTCTTATAACTATCTTTTCCATAAAATATGTGTTCACTTCAAAGTATACTCCGTCCCCTGTCGCACGAACATGGCCTTGTTAAACAATTCTCCTGTGAATGAGCCTCCTTTAGACGAAGGTCTTCCCATTTTTAAGCCCGCATCTCATGCAGGGCGCCAGACGACAGTGCAGGTTCGGATATCCTGCGTCAGCAGTCGAGGTCGAGTGTATTCGCTTGCCCAGAGATATCATAAAATCTGTCGTGCGACTCTAACAATTTCATCATCGCGCAGTCTGCTGCAGTCTGCTGTACGGTCAAGAATTTCGGATTTTGGAACCTGTAAGTTTCAAACTTGAGTGAATTTTACAAAGTACCGTATACCGAGTGCCTTTACTTAACTTACCGAGTGCCCTTGGATACTTACCGAGTGACCTTGGATACTTAAAAGGTTAATCCTGTTAGTGTTTATACGTGATACATTTCGCTCGGCGCAGTCGATTCACGATATGGGTGTTGTTTACTTGATTTTTAGCGCATTTTCTCATTTATGAAAAAAATGCTCTTTTCTGCTCGTCATGTCCGTCCGTCTGTCCGTCCGTGACTTCACGTTTTCGTCGATTTTGAGAAAATGCGCTCTCTGGCACTCACTGCAGTGA